GATTACATGTTCATTTTTTGGGGGCGGTTGTTAGCAATTAGTAGGTTTAGGGTTTAGGGTTTCAGGGTTTAGGGGTGGTTTGCTGTAAGCCCTTGTCTACAACCTAGCATCTCGCGGGGGGATAAGAGACGCTAAACCCGATACTTTACCCTAAGGGTCCATGTAACCAGATAGTATATACTTGGGCCTTAAAGGGGTTCCCATATAGCAGCTTTAGGGGCCAAGTATATACCATATAGGTACATGGACCCTTAGGGTTACATTACGCCGTGCATGTTGCAACACGCCAGAGCCTGGGAGGCTGTGCAAAGACGTGGAGGAAGTCGTCGGTATCCGCGTTGTCAATCATCTGGGCATACGTGTTTCTGGGTGCCCTGCACATTCCTCCAAAAGATACCACACCCAAACCCTAAAGTCCTGAAGCCTACCCCCCCCCCAAAAAAAAAAAAAACATAACAAATCAATAAACAAAATGAATAAAGTTAGACCCCTGCATCATAACCCGCAAGCCTGGAACCTCACGGGAGCACACGACTCCACCCTTCGTTTGCTGCACTAAGCGTGAAATCTCCAAGGTTTGAGATTCTGACCAAGTCGTCTCTCTCCCTGTCTTCTCTCTCCCTCCCTCTCTCTCGCTCTCTCCCTCTCCCTCTCTCTCTCTCCCTCTCTCTCTCCCTCTCTCCCTCCCTCACTCTCTCTCTCTCTCTTTCTCTCTCTCTCTTTCTCTCTCTCTCTCTCTCTCTCTCTCGCACACTCAGTCCAGCTGTCAGACGTATCTCTCCTGAGGGCCATGCCAAAGCAGCAGCTTGGGGCACAGAGAAAAGTACGTAAGCCGTCTCAAGAGATAGGGGGATTTCCGATATTTTGGATACCTTACTCGGTTCCTCATTCATAAGGGAATCCGAGTATTTTGGGGGTCTATTTTGGGCCTCCCTTGTTGGAGCAAGCCCCCCCATATCTAAAGCCGGCACGCTACGCAAGACCACTCCCATCAAGGGTCAACCTTGAGATGTTCCCCCTTATACTAACCTTGCTGTCCTTAGTAGGGATGAGAATAGGGCGATAATCCCTAAGGGCTCCGTAAACCCTAAACCCTGAACCCTGAACCCTCAACCCCTGCTAGTATAAGGGGGAACATCCCAAGGTCAACCCCACAAAATCCCCTCAGCAAAGCGCCAGATCTTCCACTCGCGGGTCGCCGTAGAACTTCACCGGCGAGCTGTTCGCAGCCTGACCTCAGCACATTAAAGGGCTTAGGGCTTAGGGCTTTAGGGCTTAGGGCTTAGGGCTTAGGGCTTAAGGTTTTAGGGTTCTAGGCCCAAGAATAGGAAAGAAAAGGGTAATTACCCTTTTTGGTTCAGAGGGGCTTGTAAGGGAACCTACACCCTAAGAAAAGGGAATACAGGCCCACTCTGGGTCCGAGAAAAAGCCCCTTTGTCCACAAACCTTCGGCGAACCAGTAGTGTTGGATCAAAACCGAACCGAACAGAAGGGGGTGGGGTGAAAAACACTTTCTTTGTGCTTCCATTTTCTCATGATATCCATTCACATGAAAAATGAAGATTATATATATATATATAGGTCTCGGGCTCCCGGGCCCTACCCCCCCACCCCCACCCCCCCACCCCCCCTAAACCTGAAACCAAAACCGCAAACCTTCAATCCCAAACGCCAACCCCCCCATCCACAGCACAGGCAGGGGAGCGCTAAACCTTAAACCCTAAACTCATGTACATTTAAACCTTAAACTAACCCCCAAACCACACCCCACACCACGGGGGGGGGTGGGGGGCGCAGGGGTAGCACGGTCTCTTAAGCCCTCAACCCCAAATCCGAACCCCAACCCCCCAATCACACCACGGGAATAAATCCTAAACCTTCAACACTAACCCCTAACCCCGCAACCACTCTCCTTAGTTGAGGGCCCTGAGACTCCCTTACCAAATTTACATTGTCGTTTAAAAACCAAAAGGACAGGATCGGTTTTGAGCCGGGGCCTGGCTCCGGGACAGCCAAAGCTTTGTTTGAAGTTGGCGTGCTCGTGAAAATACAGACAAGGGCGTAAATGTTTTGCGAACGATTCTTTTGAACAAGCTTAACGGCGAGAGCGCCTGGTAGAAGAAGAAGTTAAGAATGAGTCCACTGTGGTGGGGGTGCGGGAGTAGGCCCTAAACCTTAAACCTTCAACCCTCAACCCCAACCCCCCAAACCACACCCACACCACAGCAAGCGGGGGGGGGGGGGGGGGGGGGGTTGGGATTTAAGGGAGGGGGGGGGGGGGGATACCATGGCGGGTGGGGGGGGGTGGCAGCCTCAGACCATATATACATATACACACAAAAAGTGGGCAAGTGCCAGGCTGCCAGGGCAAAGCATGACCGCTTGGGACAGCGTTGTGGCTGCAAGACGCGACTGTAGAGCCAGAGACTCTTTTGGGGGGAAACCCTATAGACCCTAAACCCTAAACCCTAAACCCTAAACCGGTCTGGGGTGCTCAGTCCCTGGCTCCGCAAAGCAGCGCGACCGCGCAACTTCTATATGACATGATTTTAGGGTTTAGGGTTTAGGGTTTAGGGTTTAGGGGATAAGTCAAATTCGACCATACAATGCCGGAGAAGGAGAGGCAGGGAGAGACAGAATGAGAGAGAGAGGGAGGGGAGGAATCTCAACACAACTTCTCACTTCCCTAAGGGTCCATGTACCTATATAGTATTTACATACTTGGGCGCCAGAGCTACTAACCCTAAACCCTAACCCTAAACCCTAAACCCTAAACCCTAAACCCTAAACCCTAAACCCCTTTAAGGCCCAAGTATATACTACAAAGGTACATGGACCCTTAGGGCTTGCAACCAGCTCACGGTAGGCCAAGTTCGCCGTGAAGCCCAGCGCGACGAAGTACGCCAGAAGCATCCTTTTAGGGTTTAGGGTTTAGGGTTTAGGGTTTCGGGGTCACGAGCAGTCTTCCCTGTTGGGGGGGCCTCATGTTGTCCACCCCACAGTTGGCCGGGTCATGTTTAGGGTTTTGGGCATATACCCTATTGAATTCTCTAATTCCTATTCACCCATAACCAGGATGGGCTTTTAGGCAGGGGTGGGGGGGGGTGGGGGGACCAAATGAACGGGTTGACTTCTGGGTTCGTATCCCTTCATAGGAGTTAGAGTAGTAGAGGGTATGTGGCCCCAATTGACCCCCAATTTCAGGGTTCATTTGGGCCCCAAGGTTTGGCAAAGAGACACTTTGGGTGTCGCAATCACGACCTGCTACTCGAAGCCAGTGTCAAGCAGCCAAGCATCGGAAAAATGTAACCAATGCAATCACGAAGAGACGATGCTACATCGGAGTTGAGTTTTGCGCTTCGGCTGTCGCACTCGCAGGCTGCTGCAAGGATTCGTCGGTTCATTGCACTCAAGGCTTAAGGTTCGGAGTTTCGCTTTAGAGTTTAGGGTTTAGGGTTTAGGGTTTAGGGTTTAGGCTTAGGGTTTAGGGTTTAGGGTTGAGGGTTGAGGGTTTAATTAGGGTTTAGGGTTTAGGGTTTAGGGTTTAGGGTTTAGGGTTTAGGGTTTAGGGGGGAAGTCGGTCGGAGAAGGAGCCGTGCTTGTGATTCAGGGCACCTGGGGAGCAGGAGTGCTGTTTTGAATGAGCCGAGTGCCCCGCCGTACGACTGTAAGGTTCCTTGATAAGTCATAGGTCTTAGTCATAGGAACTCCAAGCCCTACTTCTTCAGACCATATGAAACTTCAACCCCTAACGCGGAACCTGGATCTTAGTACGTACCCGACAAAACAAGTGAGCAGGCTTGGGGGGCAAGGTGGTCACGACGCCACGAAACATTGCTCCATGACATTCGGCGTTCAACAGACCCTACGATCTCACAAGCTTCTCAAACTTCAGGGTTGTTCGCGGGATAAGGGGTTTTATAACTAGGCCCAAATTAAGGGCCCATACTTCGGATCCCTATAAACCAGCTTAAGGGTAAGGGGCCTACTACGAGACCATGGGCCTTGCGGGGGGATTGGGGATGTTGGGTTTGTTTGGCTTCGCCTCTACTCCTGCGCAAAAAAGAAATGTTCTTCCTTATTAAGGGTAATTTAAGGATTATCATTGTTTATTCTTTTGGGGTTCTTAAGTAAATAGTAGGAAAATGTAGGAAATCTCAAGCCAGGTTACAGGCCCAGCACCACTTTGTCTTGGTAGCGCATGCCTCTGGCAAAGTTAGGCGTACTTGGGGCTCTGGGGGTTTAACAGTTGAGAGTTTCGCGGCCTAGGCCAGGTCGCCTGGTAACCTAGGTAGGGTTTAGGGTTTAGGGTTTAGGGTTTAGGGCTTAGGGTTTAGGGTTTAGGTTTTAGGGTTTAGGGTTTAGGGTTTAGGGCTTAGGGTTTAGGGTTTCAGGTTTAGGGTTTAGGGTTTAGGAGACGCTTCTTTGGTGGAAGTGGCTCAATGCTTCAACGCTCACAGCTTGGACATGTCAGACAAGCACTCCATAGACCCCTGCCCTACTGGCCCTTAGCAGGGGATGTCCTATAGAATCCCTTAAATCTTAAAGGGTATATACAGGGGGGATGTGAGATGCCATAGAATCCCTTGAAGAGTATGTGCAGGGGGATATAAGGTCCTGCTACCGGTAAGAACCGCATCACTCTCTCTCCTTTTCATGCTGCCACCATGGCTTGGTGGGTTCGTGTTGGAACATTGTGCTGCTGGTAGCCGCTCCACAGATGTGCCCAAAGCTTCTCAGCAGGCAGCTCCAATTGTCGTGCAAGGTGCAACCACCTTTCTTGCTCAAGAGTTCCGAGTCAGTTAAAGGACCCAAAGAAACCAAGAGCCGAGTCGTGGCACAGCACAAAATACAAGGGATTACAAGGGAACAAGGCGCATAACTGTACATATTTTACCTCCGTGGCCGAAGTCCTCAGCTTCAGCATCCGGAAGTGTCATTGGCCCTGGTTAGGGCCATCAAGAGCCAGGCGCCTCTCCACGCAAGTCAACTGACGCTGCTTAGCTTACAAAGAGAAGTGAGAGAAGAAGAGTTGAGATGGAGTAGGCTGCTGTCACCAGGCTGTGAGACAATGCCTGATCTCCGCCAGCGTCGCCATCACCATCGCTGCCACCGTCGCTGCCGCCATCACCTGTAGTGGCTACCGTCTCTTCCTCCTCCTGTGCTGCATAAGACTCGGTGACGACTGCCAGCCGGCGGCCCAGGCGTCGAGCATTGATGTCGGTGGTTCCAAGGTCCGTGCTGAGTGTCTCGGACAAGTCGTCGGTCTCGTTCTCGTTCAGGTCCCTGGTGTGGACCTTGCAGAAGTACCGCGCGAGACCCCAGACAATCTTGCACTCCCTGTTGGACACGTTGCGCGGCCCCAGGGTGGCATTCCTAGCTCATGGTTGGGACAATACTAAAAAACAAAAGGTTTCTATTCCTTATAGGGTCGAAGTACCCTTAAAAAATGTAAAATGGTACCCTTACTATGACGAAGATTCGGCATGAAGCCATCCGAGGTCTGCTGGGCCTTCTCGGCCAGCGTCTGCAGAACAGCATCGGAGCAGTCAAGGGCATCCGTCAGGATCCTCACCAAAAGCTTTGAACACAGAGCTTGAAAGATACCAAGAGTATATATGACTATTGTTATTGCTATTATGATTGTTATTGTTATTGTTATTGTTATTGTTATTGTTATTGTTATTGTTATTATTATGATTGTTACTATTAACATTAATATTGGTATTCTTCTTATTATTTTTATTGTTATGAAGCTTTTATTATATATATATATACATAAGTACATAAAAGGTATACATATATATATATACATATGTATACATACATACATACATACATACATACATACATACATACATACATATATATATATATACATGACTTGCAGATTCATGCTGTCAAGCTCACCTTCCTGCTGGCAACAACGCAGAACAAAACACGTCGATGTGGTTCAGTCACAAGAACCACTCAACCCTAAACCCTAAACCCTAAACCCTGAACCCTAAACCCCAAACCCTAAACCCTAAACCCTAAACCCCAAACCAAAACCCCAAACCCCAAACCCTAAACCCTAAACCCACGCTTGCTTCTGAGGGCGGGGAGCTCGAGGAGGATGGATTGCAGCTTCCTGAGGACGACTTCGCGCCCCTCCAGCATGGCTTCGCCAAGTGCCTTGGGGGACCACAGGCGCCCTAGAATTGGGGTTTAGGGTTTAGGGTTTAGGGTTTAGGGTTTAGGGTTAGGGTTTGGGGTTTAGGGTTTAGGGTTTAATATACCCTATACTACTGTATGATTCCTATTGAGGTGTGAGATTATGAACAAAGAACTGTTAGGGGGGCTCATCTACCCCATGCTACTGGATAATTCCGATTAAGGTAAGATTACGAACCGAAAGCCCGTTTAGGGGGTCATATACCTATGATTACTATACTGTATCCTTCCTAGTAAGGCAATTCTTATGAACCCAAAACCCTTTTAGGGTTCATCTGGTCCCCCAAAAAAGCCGTGCCTTCACCTTCTCCGCCACCTCGGCCGTCCAAACGGACGTGGAGCCGCTGATCTCTTCCAACTCTGCCTGCTGGAAGGTTCATGGGTGCTTATCAGTAGGGTTTAGGGTTTAGGGTTTAGGGTTTAGGGCTTAGCGCTTAGGGTTTAGGGTTTCGGGTACTTCTCAGAGACTTATCAGTAAGGTTCGAAGCAGGGTAACTATGGCAATACCCATACCCTAAGCACAGCGTAATTCTCACCCTACTTATTACGGTTATAAGCAGGGTAAATATAGGGTTATAACCTAAGCATGTGGTACTTGTAACCCTGCTTATACGTACCCCTGAACTTACTACTGATACATAATACCTAGGTATAGGGTACTTACAACATCTTCCCTAAACCCTAAACCCTAAACCCTAAACCCTAAAGCCTAAACCCTAAACCCTAAACCTTAAACCCTAAGCCTGGGCGAGGGTGTCGCAAGTTGCGTTCACTTCGGCGCTGTCTTCCTGGCAGGCTGCCCAAATCTCGGCCGCGGACTTCCTGGGTCTCTCGGGTTTTGGGTTTAGGGTTAGGGTTGGGGTTGAGGGTTGAGGGTTGAGGGTTGAGGGTTGAGGGTTGAGGGTTGAGGGTTGAGGGTTGAGGGTTGAGGGTTGAGGGTTGAGGGTTTAGGGTTTAGGGTTGAGGGTTGAGGGTTTATGGGTAACTGGAGGTTCATGGCACTTACAAGCAGGGTTAGAAGTAGGGTAACTATGGTTAGAACCTTCTTTAGGGTACTTCTGACCCTACTTATCCGTACCCATGAGCCTCCAAGTATATAGAAGGATTCCCCCCCCCCCCCCCCCCAATTGAGGCACCCCATTGAGGGACCATGTAAATGCCCTAAGGCTGGGGTAGAGTTGGCTGCTCTGTCGGAACTTCAATTCCAATTTGGGGGGGTTCATCGGGTTTGAGGTATAGGATTCTTTGTGCCATTCTTATCGCCTGTGTAGACGCACAGAGATAAGTTAATCAAACTCCCTACCTCACATAGGGTTTCTAAGCCCATAGCCAAACCCTAAACCCTGAACCTTAAACCCAAATTCCCAAACCTTAAACCCTAAACCTTAAACCCTAAACCTCAAACCCTAAACAATAAACCCTAAAACATCTTTACAAAATGTCTTCCGAGTCAACAGTCCCAGGTTCATCTCTGCCAGCTGGCGAACCACGTGGAAGGTGCGCGCCAAGAGGCCGCTCTTCTTCAGCTCCTCCTGTTTGTAAGGGGTTTTGGGGGGGTTAGGGTTTAGGGTTTAGGGTTTAGGGTTTAGGGCTTTTGGGGTTGAGGGTTTGGGGTCCAGGATGTATTTAGGTAATAAGAACAACAATAAATTATGATGTTTTTTTAGTGGTACGACATAGAAATAACCAGAGTAAAATGGAACATCGCAATCATGAGAATAGAAATAATAGCAATGATAATGAAATTATACTTCCAATAAAAGTAGTATAGTAATTACAATAATAATACTAATAATAATAATAACAAAAATCACCACCCTAACAGTAACAATAACAATATTCATAGCTAATGAGGTCCTTGGCTTGGTCGATGCACGTCTTCCTTGCGGTCTGGTTGCAGGCCCGGGCAGCGGTGGCCACCACGTTGCGGTGGTATTCTCGGTTTCCCCAATGTGGTCTATGGGGTTTAGGGTTTTGGGTTTGGGGTTTGGGGTTTAGGGTTTTACAAATTTTGGGGGTCAAAGGAACTTCCCAAGTTGGTGTCGTCTACTCAAGAAACTAGTACGATTCCTAACTGGGGATATGGGTTTAGGTCCCTATACCACTACAATTGGGGGGGGGAGGGTATGAGAAGCGAGGAACGAAACTAAAAAAAGTGCCACTGGTGTGATCCCAGTGTCTCTTCACAACCTTAGTTGTCCAAAGGAGTTAATTGTCCAGTATCCTTGGGTAACAAAGGGTTAACCTTTTGGATTATATAGTAGCGGGTCAAAGGTGACGGATTCTACTGGGCAACATCCTCCACATCCTCCTTCAAGCCTGCCATGCCGGCGCCATCGCGCATCTCCGCTTGGCAGGCTTTCTTCTCTTCTGCAGTTGTGGAGGCCTCCATGCAGAGCTGGAACCGCTCGCCGACGACCTCGATGGCTGCCTCGTCTCGGGCCCGCTTCTCCTTGTTCTGCTTCCGCTCATCGGAGAGGCCCTTGAAGAGCTCACCCGCAACCTCGGCGGCATCCTGGATCTCGCCCATGCAGCGGTCGAAGCCGAGCTTGTCGGATTGATCCATGCACGTCCGCATGGCATCCTTCTCCGTCTCCTTCACAAGCTCTTGCCGGATCCGCTTCCGGTCCACGTCGTCCTCGATGGGGACCTTGCGCGCGCTTGCAAAGACCTCGGTGGCGTCGGCGCAGGTGGCTGAGGCGGACTCCTTACGGGCGGCAGCACAGCCGCGCGCAGCCTCCTTTGCCGCATCGCGGGCTCCATCCAAGTTCAACCTCTCCACCTCCATGTCTGACAGCTCCTCCTTGAGGCGGCCCATGGACTTCGCAGCCTCGTCCCTCAGCTTCTCCATGCACTCCTCGCGTGTGCCCTGGCAGTCTTTGCTGACTTCCTTGGCCTTGTTGCGGCCGGCTTCCAGCAAGGCCTCCCCAACCTCCGTGAGGGAAGGTGATCCACCCCGGCCGGCCACCCCGAACACATCGGCGGACAGTGTAGTCCTGCAGAGCTCCTTGGCGGTGTTGTTGTCCGCCGCTGCGTCCATGCAGGCACGCATCCTTTCACCAAGCTCGCTCGCCATCTCGTCTTTGAGGAGCTTGCTCAGCATGTCGCTCGTGATGGCGGAAGCCGCTTGCCCGGTGACCGCCGCCAACATGTCCTTGGCGGCATCCATGCAGCTCTCCTTGGAACCTTCGGGGCAGGCCTCCAGCATGGTCCAGATCTCTTCCTTCACGCCTTCCTCCAGGAACTCCCGGATGTCGGAGTCCTTGACATGATCCCGACCCTTGCCCATGCTCTCCCCGATGGTTGCCCGGATGTCATCCGAGCCGAAGCACTCCTTCTTCTTGGAATCCGTGTCGGCGGAGCCCATGCAGAGCCTTAGCCCCTCCGAGATTTCTTCCGCAGCTCCGCGGCGGAAGAGGCTGCGGAGCTCCTCCTCCGAGATGGACCCAATAGCCCGGCCGGAAAGCTTTGCGAGGGCCTCCAGCGCTTCGGTGCTGGACAGGCATGCCTCCTTTGCGGCATCGGTGGACGCGGCCTTCGAGCATGTGCTGATGATGTGCTTCGCCTTCTCCCCGGCGATCTTCCAAATCTCCCGGTCCAACTCCTCGGCTGGCACGGTCTCGTTCTTGAGCTTCTCCAACATGGCCTTCACCTGCATCTTGCAGTCCTCGAAGGTCACGTTGAGTCCCGCCTTGCCGATGTCCTCGGTGCAATTCTCCAAGGTTCCGAGGATGGCCCTTGGGGCGCCCTTCTCCATCTCGAAGCGCTCCTTGACTTCGGGGAGCCATATTAAGGGCCCATATAGAACTACCCTTAGAGAAGCAGACTTCGCAGGTCTTTCTCATTATGGTGCTCCTTGACTTTGTCCGGCGGGGACATGGCTGTGAAGTTGCCGAACTGCTGACGGCACTCCTCTGGCGTCTTGCCCTCCAACCTCTTCGTCTCTTCAATGGCTTTTGGGGGAGGCCCTATACACGTTTCGCATCCATGAAGTTCCAGAAGCTTTGCACAGTACAGGGATCCCGTGCAACTCAAAGATGCCCTAAACCCTAAACCCTAAACCCTAAACCCTAAACACCCGAAATGCCACCGGCCTGCAGGACACCAAGATCTCTTGAGCCTCCTCCAGGATCTGCTTGGGCGGCTTGAGCTGAGCGACACCTTCTTCGCGACCACAACATGAACCCTAAAAAGGGTTCCGGTTTAGGGTTTAGGTTTAGGGTTTAGGGTTTAGGGTTTAGGGGTTAAGGGTTAGGGGTTAGGGGTTAGGGTTTTTTGCTTAGGGTTCAGGGTTTATGGTCTAGGGTTTAGGCCTAAACGGGTTCATGGTTCGTCGTAACTTGTAGCAGTATAGGGCAATCTGACCCCGAATCTCTAGGGTTCATTCGGTCCCCCATGGCACATGCCACAGCCAGCACGGCGAAAGCGCACGCGGCGAGCTTCATGGCGTCTAACCAAACTTGCAAGGGGCCGGAGCTGCTCTGAGCCTCTTTGAGCCGACACTTGCTTCGGCCCACCCAGAAGGGTCCCGAAACCCTAAACCCTAAACCCTAAACCGTAAACCCTAAACCGTAAACCCTAAACCGTGTAGAATACTTGGGCCTTCAAGGGTTTCCTATGCAGTAGCTTTAGGGCTCAAATATGTGCTACAGGGGTACGTGGGCCCTTAGGCCCGGAGGGTTATTGGGTCTATGGAGACCCCAAACACCTTCAGGGACCTCATAAATTGAGTTTCCAGAGCCTTTAAGGACCTCATAACTATAGGTCCTTGGGGGATAGGGTGCCTGCTCGCCCCAAACAACAGAGAGTCTAGGGTTTAGGGCATTTAGGGTGCCCAGAGCCGTTTCCGAATCACAGCTCAAGCGGCGTCGGATGAGATCCCGGTCCATCTTCGCGCTGCCGGTGCCGGTGCCAGCGCCTGTACCTAAATGCAGGAGGGCTTGCAGAAGGGAAAACTCTTAAGGGGCTGGGTGCATAGGGCCGATGGGTTGCTGGGTTTGGGGGGGAGGGGGGGGCTGGGGGGGGAGGGGAGGAAGGTTGTGCCCCTGCCATGAGGAGCAGCCACACTGCAGCGTTAGCACTTCTGAAAGTTGGACGGCTATTGGGTATCGGTCGTTTCGATAAGGTGTCCAGTATCTTCGTATAAGTCCTTCTGATTTAGGCTCCTGCATTTTGCGTAGCTTGCCCCATGAACCATTCAAAACGTCACCAAGAACCCAAAACCCTGATCTTTCCCCAGAGCGGATAGTTGAGGAGTATACGTAGTACTTCTGTTGATGCACTTACTTACTTCCTTTACGTACTAGGGTACTGTACTTCATCGACCACTCTAGGTGAAACCTCTGACTGCTAACCCTAAACCAAAACAACCCTAAACCTGCCAACAGGAGGCCGCCACCCACCGCCAGCAGAATCTCCTGCCGTTGGCTGGGAGACTGCGCAAAGTCGCAGTTGGGACTCTGGCATATAACATTTGTACCAGGAGCACGGTGGTAAAGTGGAGCGAACGCAACTATAAAACTACTGAATTAACTTTGTAAACGAGATGAAAGATGAGGAAACTCCTAACAGACGACCAATATTAATAATCGTTAAACTCATGCACTCACTTTTCTTCGAGTATAAGAAACAAATCTCTTTGCGCGCTCGAAAATGACTTCATTTGGCATTGCCCATCTATAAACAGGTAGGTAGGGTTTGGGAGTCTGTAAGGTGAGTCTGAAACCCCACACCCTACTAATCGCGTAAGAACCCCCAAAAAATTAGAAAAGCACTATCCTTATAAGGGCAGTGCAGGGATGATTAACTTTTTTTTTGGGGGGGGTTCTTAAGCACATAGTAGAACCTGAATCCCACCCGCCTTGGCATTGGGGTTGTCCTTCTGCACCTGCGGAGCAAGAGCGACTTCTTGCCTTTCAAACCCGTTTGAAAAGTTGTGGTCCCGCGGCTGAGGTGGATAAACATGCAGGTTTTCTAGGGGATATAGAGGTTGATGCAGCGATTCGGGTCCTAGACATTGACCCAGACACGGTGCAGAGGGGCTCTTAGCATCAATACGGCAATGCACAACTTAAGCCACAGTACGCCCAGCAAAAACCCACAACCTTTTCATCTCACACCCTTAGTCCTAGAAGCTCTAAAACCACTCTGCAGTGCTCCCAGCCCTAGCAATGGGGGGCGCGGAAGGGGCCTCGGATTAGGGTTCGCGTTCAGCTGCCAGAGTCGTGTTGTTCTGCTGTTTGCTGCTTGGTTTAGGGTTTAGGGTTTAGGGGGTACCGCTTTGCAGACTGCGGACTGAGTCACGCAGAACTCCTCGCAAAAACGATTTCTTCACTTCAGACTGCCTCGAAGCATTGATTTTCCTGTGGCTTGCCTGCTGCTGCACGAAATTTGGGAAATCAGATCAAGTTCTTCCTATGTGCTTACCTGCCTACGAGGGTATGTTCTGCTAGGAAAACAAAGCTGCAGGTGGGGTAGAAGGGGCTCACCACAAAATAGTGTGTAAAAACAAACTAGGCTGCCCAGCAACCAAGGCTTAAAAAGGGTGCCCCGTTTTTTTGCTTAAAGGGGTTTATAAGGGAACCTAAACCCCCCCAAAAAGGGAATAAGGGTACTACTGGGCATCCTGGCAAAATCTTCTCCAAAACATTATACGTCTACATATATATATATATACATAATTATATATATAATTATAGATTACTTTTAGGAGTTGTTGATTTCTTTATGAACCAGACATGATCAACCCTGATTCCCACACCCCAATCGCGCCCTGCCTCGTCCCAGTCCACAACATGCTTTCCACGCCAGTTTTCCGTGCCTCGGCCCCAACAATGCTCCTAAACCCTTGTTAGCCCCAGGGTTTATAGAGGGTGTAGGGTTTAGCGTCTAGGGTGTAGGGGTTGGGGCCGGTTTAGGGCGACGACAACCGTGAGAGACTCTGACTCCGAAAGCTCTGCGGCCGAAAGCTGTGACCTGCGCTCTGTTGAGGCTTCAGTGAAGGGCGGTATACTCCCGGGCCCTTTCGGGGCGTCAGGTTCATAGGTCGGTCTCCCCACGCCTTGTCCCACGCAGGTGGACAGCTGAAACGCCCAAGTTGCGTTTAGGGTTCAGGGTTCAGGGTTTAGGGTAAATCATATCTTGAACCTGGCTCGAGATCTTCACATAGTACGCATGCCGAAGAGCGCCGAACTAAACTCCACTGCCTTCCTTGCTGCCTTCACATATATAGGCGGTTGTCGAAACTATGGTCCCTTTTTGGGTCCTTAATACAACACGGCACCTATTATTTAGGGTACCTAAAAAGGGACCCTAGGCTTGACAACCGCCCATATACAACCCAGAGGCATGGCAGCCATAGACAAGCGTTCAAGGGTGCCCTGGGCCTCTCCTACACCCTATAACTAAGCTTCCATACTCTGAAGCCCTAAGCCCTGAACTACCTCTCTGCCTCCCTTCCCAAGCCCCGAAGCCCCCAAATAAAGCCTAAACCCTGAACCCCAAACCCTAAAATCACCCCCCCCAAACTGCAAGCACTCTGAGATTCGCCATGGCACGCGTGTACGTCCCCTGGGCCTCGACTTCAATCAGACGTGTTGCCAGGCAGTCACAGTGCTTAGTTGATACTATACCTATATATGTACACATACATGTATGCATATTAAACGGTTGTTGTTCTTATTACTGTTGTTGATTCTTGTTCATACCCGATTATTGCCTTTTTTTGCTAGTATGATATATGCTGTATGTATTGTATAGTAACGGCTTGGTGGCGGTTTAGGATCTTGGCTTGGGTTTTTCTGGGTTTGAAAGGGCTGAAGCCTAGGGGTCTCGTGGGTTGTTGGGCTTCGGGTCGACAATGTCTGGCTCACAGCGCGGTCTTAGGATTTAAATGAACCTCTTGAACTTCTAAAAGCTCCCAACTTCAAGAATCCTAAACCCTAAGCCCCAAACCCTAAACTCCGAACCCTAAACCCTAAACTCCACTACCCAAACCCTAGACCCCGAACCCTATATATAGACCCTAACAATAGATTAGGGGCTGAGGATTTAGGTTTCCCTCACCCGATAACGAACCCTCGGGGCATCCTTGGAATGTTCTGAGGTTCCACACTTGGAGGTTTAGGGTTTAGGGGTTTAGGGTTTAGGGTTTAGGGTTTAGGGTTTAGGGTTTAGGGCTTGTTCAATTGGGCACTGGTAGATGGGGTTATAAGTAGGGTAGCTACGGCGATAACCCCATTGAGAGGGTACTTCTACAATCCCTAAACCCTAAACCCCAAACCCAAAACCCAAACAAGTCGCTCCTCCCTGGGAATTCTGGTAAGCTGAATGATGCAGAGCTTCCTCGTCTGTTACGACCCACGGCGGGATGTCCTGAGCCGACCGTGCGTTTGCTCAGGCTTGTGATCGTGGCTCCCGCCTGCTTGGAGCTTGATTTGAGGAAATAACCTTAGTTAGGGTACTACAAACCCTACTTGTGAGTGGTTACCCATGAACCAAAGAGTCCCGCAACATGTTTTCATCCAGCATGGCCCGTCCGTGTGAACAACTCTTCGACGGTCATTCGCGCCACGTATCCGTGAATTAATACCAAACCTCGCCCAAGGAAAAACAGTTGTGAACGCAGGAAGACCCTAGACCCGAAGGAACCCTCAGCCGCAACAAAACCATGCAGCCATCAGCAGCTAGTCTGGACAAACCCTAAACCCTAAACCCTAAACCCTAAACCCTAAACCCTAAACCCTAAACCCTAAACCTTTGTGTGTCGACCTTCCAGCGAAGTTACGCCTGTGTTGGGTGTTTTGGATACAGCTTTCGTTCATCATAGGCCCCCACCTAAACCCTAAACATCTCTGAAATGACTTGTCAAGTGACGGGAG